CTTCCTTGTGCTTTGGCTTCTCTATGTTCCAGTGCAATCTTCAGAGTTTCTTCTGACATCCATTTTGGTCTTTTCTTCCTCTTCTGTCTTTGTAATGACCACCTGCACTCTTCCTGGATGATACATTTAACATCCTCCCACAACTCATCTGGTCTTCGCTCACTGTTCCATAGTCACATCAAATACCATAATGGTTACCCATGTACAATGTTTGGATAAGCTTCCAGATTGATTCAGGAGTGGCATCCACTTCCTAGACGGGGTGCCTCTGAAAATTCTAGAAATACACAAAAATGATGGTTATAGAGTTCAGGTCTTTTGTGAAAAGGTCACTATGAGTCATATTCAACTTGACAACACTTAACCACTTGTAAATGAGACTAGTTCTGTTATATCTGGAGGAACACTCTTCCACTTTGTACATCACTCTTTGTCATGTGGGTTTGCTGTGATGCTGAACCTTGTGCCACTGGGGTGTCAAATACTATAATAGTTTCCCAAAATGGACAGTGTTTGGTGGAGCTCTCAGTTTGCCTCTGGAAACTCTATGAACTTGGATTAAAGACAATAGTTATGGAAAGGCATTAGGTCTTTTGTTCATAGAGTCACTCTGAGTCGCGATCGACTAGATGGCAATCAACAACAATACTACTATTATTAATAATGTTAATTATTATTCTCGTTGTTGACTGTTAATTATTATTCTCGTTGTTGATTGTCATCAAGTCGAGCATAATTCATAGCCACTATGAACAAAAATATGAAATACCGCTAAAGATAATTTTAAAACAGCTTGGGTAGTTCCTTAACAGGGAACTGCAAGAAATTAACATGGATTCAGAATAAGACTAAGTAAAGGCGTATCACAGTGGTCTACACATGTGGATCATAACAAATTATTGATTACACTGGTAAAGATATATTTCAGAACGCTTTATTACGTTCCTCTAGAGTCTATACTAGACTAATTTTGGGGAAAATCTTTGTGTTATTTCTTCTCAGGTTTCTGCCTTATTCAGACTTAAATCTTTTTTCTATTCTTGATGATTCAATAAAATCAACTAAGAACTTAAAAAAAAAAAAAGTAGCCTGGAAGGGGAGGTCAGAGAGAGAAATTTTTAATTAGTAGCTAGAAAGTAAGTCTTCAATTATTCAAAAAATTATGGTTTTTGTTTTACATTTTAAAATGATTCTTAGTCTGTGAAACTATACACAACAAGCAGGATTCGACCTCTGGTTCCCCGGACACCCTGTAACACAGATAAGTGATTTTCAAAGACAATCAAGGGGATGTTTCTGACCCGAATCAAGTTTACTGGAAAAACCTCTCAAAGCCAGAGGCTGGCCCAGCGAGACGGGGATCCTGCAGGGCGGGGAGTGAGACCACGGGAAGCAAGGAAGCCGCGGCTCCCGTCCGGCCACGCTCCTCTCATACTTACTCCCAGCAGCGGCCCGCGACCGCTGACCGTCTCCCCGGGCGCCAGGGCCACCCAAGGGGCGCCGTCCTGAGGCTCCAGCCTGAAAGCTCCGGACATGGCAGCCCGACGACGCACTGCCCCGCAGAGAGCGGGTCCCGCAGCCTCTTCCGCCTTCCGCGGACATGCGCGGGGACGACTCAGGCCAGGGAGGAATGGAGGCAGGGAGAGGACTGCCGCTCCCAGCCAAGCGGCGCGCTCGTTCACACAGCAGGCTTCCACGCGCTGCCTCCGCAGGTCAGCCTCTCCCCAGAAGCAGTGACGCCTCCATACTCTCCTTCCTCACGCCGCCTCAAAATAATCGTTTAAAAGTCCCGGTCAGCCAGCACTGCCCATCTCCCCGCCCACCAGTCCAGAGGCCACCGGACCTGGAGTACTCTTTCTTTCCCTTTTGAAGGTGACGAGCCTCTGAGAAAACTCCCAATCCCACAAAGCTGTGCGCGAACGTCTCTGCGTCAGGTCAAGACTCCGGGGAGAGGGGCGGGGTCTCTAGAGGGCGGGACGCGAAGGATTCTGGGGAGTGATTCGAATTCAGGAGGGTTTGCTTGCAGAAGAAAGGATCGCTTTCAAGCCGGACGGTAGGAAGGCTTTCCCTTCTCCAAGTTATGAGTGTGCCAGCATAGCTTCCACTTGTAGTGGGGAGGCAGTGACAGTGACGGTCGGCTTGGGCACTTCTATGGTTCACCTGTCAGTCCTTTAATGTCTGGTGATCTTGGCGCTTTGACAGCTCTAGCATGAACGAGACAGTAGAGAGAGGGGTGGTACAGGTGTTGCGGTTGGGAGTGGGGCTTTTTCCTGCCACCTGCGGGGCTTGATCAGGATGGAGGTTCCATGGTAGCTGCAGCAATGGTCTCAAGGGGGGGCAGAAATGCTGTGGATGGCGCAGTAGCGGATGCGGTTCAGATCTGTTGTTCATGGGGTCGCTATCAGTCGTATTCAACCAAAGGGCATTTAACAACAATCTCGCGCCCCTTCGGCTATCCTGCCTCTTGGATGAGCTCCAAGCTAACTGGAGAGGTAATTCAGCCCAGTTTGGGTTTAAAAGGAAGAGGGCATACAATGGATAGAGAGGTATTTTGGAACAAAGAAGGAATAGAATTTCAGAACCTGCTCAAGGAATCGCAATGTTAAGTCCAAATGTCATCTTCACCCTGCCGGTAGAATTCCTGTAACAAACAGGTACCTGTTGTTAGGTGCCTTGGAATGGTGCCAATGGCAACTTATGTGACGTAGTAGAGTTATCTCCTAGGGTTTCCTAAACTATAATTTTAAAAGGAGCAGATTCCCAGGTATTTCTCCCAAAGAAGGACAAATGTGCTTTCCTCAGGTTCCTTCCTATAATGGACAGAAGCATTATATTCCTGTGAGACTTAGCAGACATTGAATTGTCCAAACATAGTCTTCTATTGTGAGTTACTTTCCAAAATTACAGCTGGTCTTGGTTTGTTGTGATGGCGGGAGGGAGGACTAATATATTGGGGAAGGGGTGGGAAAGAGAGAGGAAGAACTTGATCTTGTCTCCTCTTGTCTTTACCAGTGTGAACTTTCTTCCACAAATCTGCACCCTGGACAGACCAGACTCTTGAAGATTCTAACTACCAGGGGTACTTCGGGTCATAACTAACTTAGTAAATGGGAGCAACTGTCATCTTGTCGAGCTCAAAAGCAGGTAATTTAACATTTCTAGAAAAAGAAATTGTCTGTGTTGTCATTGTTGTTAGGTGCCTTCGAGTGAAGTATGACTCAGTGACCCCATGAATATCAGATCTGGAACCTTCCCTATCCTGTGCCATCAACATCATCATCTCTGCCACACCGGAACCCGTTGTTACAATCACTGTACCAATTGATCTCATTGAGGGTCTTCCCTTCCTTCACTGACCCTCCAACTTTCATGAGCATGATGTCTTTCTCCAGGGATTAGCCCCTCCTAACAATAAGGGCATCCTGGATGCACTCTCTCTCCAGGATATATTTGTTCATTCTTTTAGCAGCCCATGAGATATTTAGTGCTCTTCTCCAGCACCAAAACACAAAGGCATTGATTCTTGTCTTCTTTATTCACTGTCCAACTCTCAGATGCACAACAAGTAATTTTAAAGACCACAGCTTGAGTCAGGCACACCTTAGTCTTCAAACCGACATCCTTGCTCTTCAGCACTTTGGAGAGGTCCTTCACTGCAGACTTTCCCAGTGCAACATGGGGTATTATGGGTTGGTTGGTTTGTTTGTTTGTTTTTATTTTGGGGTTGTTGTTTCGGGGTGTGTGTGTGTGTGTGTGTGTGTGTTTTCCTGCTTGCTGTTACCAAGGTTGTGGATTGTGGATACGAGTAAGATGAAATCATTGGCAATTTCTATCTTTTCTTCATCTATCTTCATTTTGCCTATGGGTCTAATGGTGAGGATTTTTTTTTTATATTTAGATGTAAATCACACTGAAGGCTGTAGTCTTTGATCTTGTGCAGCAAGTCCTTCAAATCCTCCTCACTTTCAGCAAGCAGGGTTGTGTCATCTACATAACACAAGTGACTGATGAGTTTTCTTCCCATCCTGATGCCACACTCTTCTTCATAAAGTCTAGTAACTCTCAAATGATTTGTTTAACATAGAGATTAAACAGGTATGAAGAAAGGATAGGATACAGCCCTGACACACACCATTGCTGATTTTAAACCATGCAGTGTTCACTAGCTCTAAATACATCAACTTCTTAGTCTAAGTATAGGTTTCGCATGAGCAAAAGTCTATTCTTCTCAGTATTAGGCACAGTTTGCTATGACCCACACAGTTAAATGCCTTTGCATAGTTGAAGTACACGTAGACATCTTTCTGGTACTCCCTGCTTTCGGCCAAGGTGCATCTGACATCAGCTGTAATATTGCTAGTGCCACAGCCTCTTTTCAATCCAGTCTGAATCTCTCGCAGTTCTCTGTCAGTGTACTGTTCTAGCCATTTTCTAATAAACCCCTCATTTTGTAGTCCCTCACTATTATAAAGGAAGTGCTGAATGAATTAAACCAACTTTAAGAAAATAAGAACTGTCTTTCTATACAAAAAGTAAATAGCTCATTGTTAGTGGCACCCCAGCCATACTTTCAACTGATTACCAAAAACATATGCCATTACCATAGATAATAACTGAAGTTAGCATACTGTAAAGTCACATACTAGACCCAACTCGAAGACACTGTAAGGGATAAATCGATACAGTGAGTGTAACAGTGGGCCCCAGCATGTTAGGGAGTGGTGAAGAATAGTTCGGAAGGTCTCCATAAAGACACATAAGATACCCAGCTGAGTTGTAAACATAGTTTATAGTTGTTAATTGCTTGATGGCCTCCATGATTTATGCTTAGCTCATAATAACTATAAATTTAGAGCCTTAAGGAGTCATTTCTAAAACATCTTATAAATGACTTGAACATTTGAAACTTTGTATTACAACCTTGATCACAAACTCTTACGGATTTCAAATTGTATTAAAAAACCATATAATTTGGTCAAGAAGCTAACCAAGTAAACCCTGCATGGTTTAAAATCTGGAAAGATGTACATTAGGTCTATAGCTTTTCCCCGTATGAATGCTAAATAAATTATTCAAGAGGCTGGATTAATAAAGAAGAATGTGTTATCAGGATTGGAGAAAGACTCAACAACAGTCTTTGTTATGCAGATGACACAACATTGCTGCCCAAAGAGAAAAGGATTGAAACATGTATTGTAGAAGATCGAGGACTAAACAACCTTCAATAAGGGCTACATCGCAACATCAACTGGCAACATCATGATAGATGGAGAAAAGATTGAAGTCATCAACTATTTCTTCCACAAAAACTATGGTAACAAAAGTCAAGACATTAAAAGACTTTGAGTAAATCTGCTGCCAAGAACCTCTCCCAAGTACTAAAAAGCTACAATGCACTTCAAAAATGAAGGTACCCTGAACCAAGCTGTGGTCATTTCAGTTTATTCTTATGCACCTGAAAGTTGCACAATAAATAAGCTTGACGGAGGAAAAACTGATGCCTTTGAATTGTGATGCTGGAGAAGAGTGCAGAATATCCCATGGACTGCTAATGAACTGTCTTAATAATTCTGTTTTGGAGAAAGTGCAACCCAGGTGGTCCTCAGCAAGGATAGTGAAAGTTCATTTCCCATGCTTTGGACATATTATCAACAGGGGCCAAGCCTTGGAAAAAAAAGACCATCTTGGGAAAAGTAGAAGATCGGAAAAGAAGAAGGTCATAATTAAGATGGATTGGCACAGTGACTATAACAGTGGGCTGGAGCATATTAGAGATAGTGAGAATGGAATAGGGTGGGGCAAGGTTCAGATCTGTTGTTGATAGGGCCACTATGAGTTAAGATTGACTCAATGGCAGGTAACAACAATGAGGTACATAGTAGATAAATTAGACTCTGTCTCACATACTTTGAGCATGTAGAGAATGACCAGTCTTTGGAGAAGGATATCATGCTTGAAAGAGTCAAGGTACAATGCAGGAGAGGAAGACAACAGATGAGATGGATTAACACAGTGACTGGGGTAATGAGGGTTGGTGGTCAGAGAAAGTGAGATTGGCTCAGGATATAGCCATAGTCAGAGCTAGTGCATAGGTCACTATGAGTCATAGTCCACTCAATGGCACATAACAACGACAAACCATTAAAAGTTCATCAGGTTTATGATTAAGTCAGTGAACTCCACTGTCATCAAGTTAATCCTGACTCATGTCAGAGGAGGAACTACACAATAGGGTTTCTTAAGGCTGGAAATTTTTTTTAAATAAAATTTTTCTTTTATACTGGTTTGTTAATAAAGTTCGTGTACATTGTTTTTCAAACCAGATCTATCCCATTCCTTTACCATCCATCCTTCTATCCATCAAATTGTGTGACCCTATGATTACCACCCTGCCCATCCTAACCCCTCTGTCCCCTTGGATCCTCATACATGTTTTACTAGTTATCTTTCTACAATAATGTTCTTATATAGTATTTGTCCTTATGGGACTGAGTTAGTTCACTCAGTATAATGCTCTCCAGTCCCTCTCAACTTA